ACAACATTTTCAGGTTTAAGTGCTCAGTTTTACACCCACTCTGAATCTGCTTTTCTTAAGCACGACTTAGTTTGAGCATTAATATCAAGTCAAAATTATTTTCATCTAAAACAAAGCTCATATGAGTGAATCTCTGTTTTTTACCTCCAGTTTCAGTTTGCCCTGCAGAGTGATGACATCACACACATATTCTTTTTAACCTGCTTTCCCGTTGTTTCCTGCTCAGATCGTTCTCTCTGCATATATCATTCAAATATGAAATGGTAGGAATTTTCGTCCTCTTTCACTGGATGTTATTCTTGTGATGGCAAGACACACGGTCTTCGTACAACTCCCACAAAGGCTCTTTAGAAAAGACCACAATTCAGTTATAAAGTGTTACAGTATCTGCATGAATGCAGTGCGGCCGTCGGCTCTCACAAGCGCCTAAAACGAATCCCTCCTCACTCTTACAACAACTGCCTCCTCTGTAATTAGGAGTCCACACAATGTCAGCTTCTAACCAGGTGTTGAGTCCTCACACACACACACACACACACACACACACACACACACACACACACACACACACACACACACACACACACACACACACACACTTCTCTTTGTGTGATCAGGCTGCAGCATCATAATTAGCCCCAACCACTAATCACCACCTGTTGGAATAAAGAAGAGGAACAACAAGAAAGAAGAAAAGAACAAATGAGCCACGATGTTCTTGATATTAAAAAAATCAGTTTTAAATATTATGCACCATAAACTGATAAATCTTTTAGTCTACAAAATGAAACTGCTAAAATAGACAGAGGTATTCAGTCTGGGACACAACACAGAGAAGAAAACGACTGTGTTCGGCTTTTAAAGGCCGATGTTCATCAGGTTGACTGTAAACTAGATTTTCTGTAACACTTCTGTAACAGACCAGACTGTATAGAAAAGAGTCACCTCCTTTAGCTTGACATCATCACCAGTATCTCCTCCAGCTGTCACGTTAAAGTGATGCACGCTTAGCTAAGAGTGACCAGAGACAAATAACCAACACACACAAACATGCAGGCTTTGGCACTGCTTCCTAATCACAGGCATAATAATGAGCATTCATGTTCAGGAGTGCCCAAAAGTGGGCGGGGCATCACATGGCACATCCCCCAAAATATGATGTATTAATGTACTACACAGTACTACTATAGATAGATACCTGCACTATACAAGTCATTAAAATCTTCTCCAGCTCAAATCCACAACTATGATCCATATTTTCATATTACAACTTTTTACTATTATTTAAAGGGGGATTGTGAATTTTACTAAAGAGTCTAAATATTTGTTTTACCACTTTGGAAAACTGAAATTTAGCACAGATCTTTTTTCATGTGGTAAATCTGTTTTTGTCCTGGGCTCCAGATGAATCTGAAAATCTGTTTTCGACACTAAACTAATTATTCCTCCTTAAATATTGGCTCTTCAGTGCTGCCCACCTCACCCCGTCACAATCAGCTTTAACATGTTTAATGAAGCCATGAAAGACTTTACCTTCATAATTTCTGCATTAACAGCCTTCAGAGGACAGAGGCGGGCTGAAATTTAATGTTTTTTAATTATTATTCCCAACATTTTTGACCATTTACAACTTTTTAAGTAGATGAGATAGTCGTGTGACAGTTTCAGGATCTGTAGAAAACTTGAAATCTGTTTTACACCCACTCCAAGTGTCACAAAGCCAAATCTTCTTTTCTTCATTACGACTGTTTGTTCTGGTCAGTTTAGAGCATTAATATCAATTCAAAATCTTTTTCACGACTACGTTAGAAAATTATTTTAGAAGATGAGCCTGGGATCAAATTTAGGTAAAAGGAGACTTTTCATATGGTACAACCTGTTCTGAGCAGCTACTTCCGTCGTATAGTGACATCACTCTTGTAAGTTTACCACAAAAATGCTCTTTGGATATTTTTTTTTTAAAATCAAACATCCGGGTACCATGCTGTCTTTTGTTCCTCTACTGTTTTTTGACCGCATTGTGATTTCTTGGCTACCTCTGGTTCTGTAGTGACAGCAGGTGCAGGTGTGCGTCACAGGCTCACCTGGTCACAGGCTATGGCAGTTCATTTACGTGTACACGAGTGAAACTGCAGCCTCAGCTGTGAGGCTGACACGGAGTGATGGGGATGATAACGAAGACAGGATTCTCCTCATCGTGCTGCCCTGTGAATCGGCGTGGTGACGTATATTTGTTTGCCGTTTTCGCGGTCAACTCGTGCGTGAGAATATCACCAGGTACACTCGCGACAGTTTTTAGTATTTGATTGTTCAAGAGCAAAAAGACGGAGTCTCACAGATGAAATATTTGTTTTTTTATTGCCTGTTTGACCGTCACCAGTTAACCTGTGACACCAGTTAATCTGGAACACCGGCCCTGTTTAACACCGAGCACACACAATATGAATGAACTTAAAGTAACGGGTCTGTTTTAAAACGTAAAGAGTAAAAGTAGAGATATTTGTTTAAAAATGTGGGGAGTAAAAGTAAAAAGTAACAAGAAAAATAAACGCTCGAGTTAAATAGAGATACCTGGTAATTCTACTTCGTTACTTCCCACCTCTGGGTCACTCTGATGACCAACTTTTACATTTGAAATAAAAACAGTTTTTTTGAAGCTGCCTCTTTTCAGAGATGACGTCCATACGAACCTGTGTTCCGTACCTTTCATCCGGTCCTCTTCATACGCTCGTGCTCTGTCCTCGTGAACCCATCAGCACACTGAAACCTGTTGCTCTTCCTCGGTTACTCCTCCTCAGCATCACCGCTCCCCTCCTCCGCACAGGCCCCGCCCCCCAACAAACAGCAACCCAAACTTTCTTCCTGAGCGTGACGTCAGAGAGCAGCGGCTTTGAACGCCTCTCTCCACCCAAGGACGCAGCTGAAGGTGGAGGAACCAGCGACATGTTTAAGGGTAAACGATGGGCGTGTTTTCAGCGCTGGTCAGCAGGAAGCTCTGCTCGCATCCTGACAGTTTAGCAAACTTTACAAAAAAATATTTTCATAATTAACAGTTTGAATCCTGCTTTGATTGTTTTGAAGCTGCCGCCATGAAATCTGCATCTTTCCTGCGTTTGTCAAACACATGTGTTAATGCTCTCTTAGTGACGTCATAGTGATGGTGTTTTTCTCATTTATCCGTTTATCCGCTGAACAAAGCATTAGAAACCCTGTCCAAAGGTGTCTAAATGGCACACTGGACATGACTGAAGCCTAAAACTGGGATGAAGTTGGTTTAGAAGGTGAAAGTTTAGCAGACACGTATATCACGTTCAGTGGTTTGAGCGGTGTGTCAAACATTTGACTTTTTTTAAATGACATGTTTGTAAAATAGTTGTGATCAAACAGCCACACAGGCGCTCATCATTTTTTAAACATGACCGAAAAAGTCTTTATACTTGTCTAAATGTCAGTCACATGGTGTCTGTGAAGGTTCTCAGTCATCCAGGTCATCGTAGTCAAAGGAGCTTGCAAAGAAAAGCGTCTGGACTTCTTTAAGTTGCTTGAAGACGTTTCACCTCTCATCCGAGAAGCTTCTTCAGTTCTAAGGGCCAAATGGTGGAGAGTCCCAGATATAAACCCAGTGGGAGTAACCCCCCACAGAGGGACAAAAGGACCCCCGATGATCCTCTAATCGCCTGAGCCAAGGTGGGAAACTGGGTGTGGGTCCCAATCAGCCAGAGTTTCGGGTGAGCTCATTGTGAAACCTGGCCCCACCTTATCATGCGAATTCCTGAGGTCAGATGGCCCAGGATGTGAGTGGGCGTTAAGGCGTCTGGGAAGGATCTCAAAACTGGATTATAGATGGCAGAGAGTTGGTGTCGTAAACCACCGCCTCTGTTCAAAGATGGTCGCTCACAGTGGACATAGATGGCTTCTTTCACTCCTCTTTCAAACCATCTGTCCTCTCTGTCCAAAATGTGAACATTGTCATCCTCGAAAGAGTGTCCTTTATCCTTAAGATGCAGATGGACTGCTGAGTCTTGTCCTGTGGAGGTGGCTCTTCTGTGTTGTGCCATGCGCTTGTGAAGTGGCTGTTTGGTCTCTCCAATGTAGAGGTCTGAGCATTCCTCGCTGCACTGTACAGCATACACCACATTGTTAAGTCTGTGTTTTGGCGTTTTGCCTTTTGGGTGAACCAGTTTTTGTCTGGTTCACATGGTGTTTCTTTGAACATCAAATTCATCGTTTCCTAACGAGGTGTGCGGACCTCAGGTGTCGAGGACAGAGACGACCCTCCACTTTTAACCAAATTCAAACTGAAGTTGAAGACTGTGTAAAAACAGTTTTCATTAAGCTTTTGTTTTTCAGACATCTGCCAGAGGCGCTCTCAGCCGCTCATGCCTGGTGTGACCGCTTATGAACTGAAGCCCCCTGGTGGGCTCTGACGGTACTGCACTGAGTAACAAATAAGCTGAAGAGAAAATGTCAAACCTTTTGAATGTTTTGCATCTCACAGGTTAAACTTGCAGGATAAGTTACACCATTAGGATCCAGAAGCCGATCATCCTTTTGGTTTCTGTACAATAAAATCTTTTAGGATTCGTCAACACATTTTCTGAAGGACATTTCAACTCAGGTTTTGTAACTTCGCTTAAAATTTCCAAAAAATCTTCACAGTTTAAGGGAAAGAATAAAACAGCCATGATTTTAAGCCTGTCTCATGTCTCACATTCAGATAAAAGAATCAAGCTCAACAAGTAAGGTGTTGTAAAGTGTCTTTAAAAGTCAAAATGAATGAATGAAAACGTAAAAGCAATATTTCATCTTTCACTTGCGAGACGAGCAGAGCTGCCACTAAAGGTTCGGGGCTGCAGAAGAACCTCGGCAGGCTGAAGTTGAGCTTTGAAATTTGATGCAGTAAAAAATATTCCTGATCAGACGAATGAGTGTAACATCACATGTGGTCACGTGCATGAACAAGGACAAAGCGTGCATGAAAACTCAGAGAAAAGGACAACTGTAGCATCAGCTGTGTCAGTTTATTCTTTCAAACATTCAGAGTCATCAAACTTTCAGCCTAATAAAATTCATTTAGAGACAAAAGAACAGAAATCTTTAACACAGAGATGCCGCAGCGCCGGAGAGTGCAACGGCAGCACGAGCTTTCCCTTCGTGTCTGCTCAGTGCCGGCGTTTTGGTCCCGTTACAGAGATGAAGACGATAACTGCGCATCGCGGGTTCAGTGAGAGGAAGGAGAAGGTGTGAGAAGTGAGAAGCTGTGGAGAGGCTTCCCTCCGTCGCCTCACGAATACATCGTGAGCTGAAGCCACTGTGAGGAAGAAAGAGACCGTCAGTGTTTACATGTGACCACAAGCCGTCCTCTGTCCTCCTCGGTTTTATAGTTTCAGTTTGATTGTCACCCCAGGAGCTGACCGATGTTTTCCTACAGACTTCTGTGCGATTCAAGTTCATTTCCAACCAGACCAGACTGTATAGAAAAGAACGATGTGGCCATTACTGCTCGCTGAGCCTCGAGCTGAGCATTTCTGACTGAGGGAGACTGTGCACTCATCATCAGGCCAGAATTACGAAATCAAAGGATGCTTTGCTCAAAAAGACTTGAAACTAGGGATTGAGACCATAACGCAGTCAATGAAGAAGAAGAAATGTTGCCCCCTAGTGGATATTAGAAAAAATACAGATTTAAGGCACTAGTTGTTTTTTTCCTGTGGTTCACAGTCAGTAAATCCGTCTCCACCTCATGTTTTTTCTGCTCCATATCATTGCAAAATATTAATCATGTTTTCTTTTCCTACTTCAGACTGTTTCCGTGCATTTCTAATCTCGTTCTCGTCTTTGGCCTTTGACCCGACCCCCACCCATTTTGCTTGCCTGCCCCTTGATGAATTTGATGCACCCTCGTCTCCTGTGTTTGGATCTTTTCCCCTGTGAGCTGACACACACGTTCCTACTTTTACCACACTCGTCCACTCAGTGTCTAAACTTCAGAATCGAGAGAATTAGAAAACATTCTGAAGTGAACCAGTCTGGGTTTTACCTCCTTGACGTCCAGATCGATGGTGCCGCTGTTGTCCTTATCCAGCGTCTTGAACGCTCCTGCAACACACACACACACACACACACACACACACACACACACACACACACACGTTGTGCATTTTAAATTGATATAAAAAAAATTTTCTTCTGTGCTTTTTGTTTCTTGGGTGGATGAGGAGGGAGGAGGAGTTTGGTGTAGGTTAGAGATGAACTAGGTGCTTCAGGCTGGTCCCTTGTTTCCCAGGGGATTGCCACAGTGGACGGATCCACATGTTTTGGTGTAGCACAGATTTGAACTTTAACACAGCCCTCCTGTTTATCTGGGCTTGGGATTGGTCCACTAGCTACAATAGCTTTGACCCCCTGAGGCTGGGTTTGTCTCTCCTCTGAGAATAGACTCGTGCAAATGGGTTCACCACACCCCACGCGGCAACACACTGGAGATACACTAACTACTTCTATTATGCATAAGAGAGACAAAGAAGTAGGGACAACACGTCATGTACAGCATGTACAGCTGTTCACAGGTGAGGAAAGTTAAACACATCATTATACAAACTTTACGTGTTCAGAAACGTAAAGCTGAAAATAAGACGGTCGGACAGCCGAGTGCACGCATATCTGAAATCACAGGGTGAAGAGAGACTCACTGCACATGGCGTCCAGTCGCACCAGGCAGCCAATGAAATTGTCAAAGTCCATATCGCCGTTCTCATCACTATAGCGACGGATAATCATCTTGTAGAGCTGGTCATTCAGCGGGAAGCCTGCAAAACACACACACACACACACACACTTAGTATGAAACTACACACACTCAAACGTCTTTGGTTCCCACAAGTACAGTGAACGTCCAGGTTTTGGTCCCAACAAATGTATGAACACACACACACACACACACACACACACACACACACACACACACACACACACACACACACACACACACAGCAGCATTTCTTACCTGCAGCCTTGAAGGCACCAGGCACCTCGCTAGCGCTGATCACACCTGAGTTATCGGTGTCATAGTTAATGTAGATGCCCTGAAAACAAGACAACAAATAATAAACAACACAAACATAAAACCAGCGTGGAAACCGTCAGAGTGCGTCTGCACGGCTGCTCCCGACCGACCTGCCATCTCTTGATGTTATTCCAGAGGTACTTGAACTCGTGGAAGCCCAGTTTTCCTGTGCTGTCACTCTGATGGGAGCCAGGTCAAAGGTCAAACTCAGCAACACAAGCAGAACTCACTGAGAACCGTGACGGTTGATTTTCTGATCTGCTGCTACTAATTCTGCAACCACTGAGATTACTGTGTTCAGTCTGCACTATGTTTTGTGGAAGGATACGTCCATCACAGCAACCATACTCCTGCAGGACTCACTGCTGAAGCCGTCGGTCTTCAGCTTCCCATCTGAACGACAGATCCACAACTTCAGTTCAGCTTAGTTAAAATACAAATTTACTGCAAACACACAAAACACTGAAACTAGAAAATAACAATAAGAATGATTTAATGAGCTGCAGAAGGAAACCGGACTCACGTTTGCAGACCACTTTATTCAAGATGTTCATCAGTTCATTGGGACTCACCTCCATGTCCTGGACACACACACACACACACACACACACACACACACACACACACACACACACACACACACACACACACACACACACACACACACACACACACACACACACACACACACACACACACACACACACACACACACACAGCGTATTAGTTCTCCACACAGGAAGTCCCCTGAGTTAGTCACAGCCTCACAGAATGACTCAAACCAAAGCCTTCGATCGAGCGTCTGACTCACTGCAGTCACTGTTGCCAACAACACGCAACCAAAACACAGAAGCAGCGCTAAAAGTTCCGGACGCGGCTTCCTCAAAAACTCTTTTTTTTCTTCACGCGATGAAAGCCTGTAGCTGTGAGCTGGGCTCCAAGGCCACGGGGTGAGCGGGAAAGATTTATTTTCACATGCTGGCCGATCGGCTCACAAACCTCGACTTCGAATCAAATGTTCATCCGGCAGTGAGCTGGGATGTTTCCCGAGCTTTCTCTGAAGCTCTAAACTCTTAGTCACGGCCACTTGAGTCACTTCAATCTCTTTTCCTTCTTCTTTTTACTTCATTTTTCCACTATTTACATCTAACTGTAAAAAAGTACGAAGAAGCCACACGTGACAAACACTGTACTGAATAAGGAGCATTTATGGCACTAAAAACTGTTCTGTGAGCCAAAGATAACTAGGTGGGCCCAGTATGTGTTACAGCAAGTATACTGGGCCTTATAAGGTGGCCCTGCAGACCTAACAAAGCTGCAGGTGTTCATCACATCTGGGCCCAACGTTAAGCTTCAGAACAGAAATCCTTTCTTCCGTTTCCTTTCTGAGTCGAGGTCTTCCTCCTCTTCAGATACAACCAGGCCTGTTCTCAAAGTTTTCATGCTTTGCAAACTCATCGACAGCATCAGCCCCGGTCACCTGACGGGCTCCCCTTAGTGATGTTAAGGGTAAACTAAACTCCTGGAAATTTCCACAAAGTACTCACCTTTCACAGCCTCCTGACTCCACCCGCCTGAAGCAAATGGGAGGAGCATACTTTACTACAAGCCTCTGTCACAGCAGTTATCACTGCTGTTGGTTTAGCCGAGAACCGGCTGTGTTCTGGTCTAACTGGTGCGCACGCCCATCAGATGAGTAGAAGAAACACACACACACAGCATGACTGCGGCTGTGCCAGACAATGGCAGGAATGCAGAGAGGGAGTTCTCTGTGTAACACGCCCTGCAGCGAACTGCAGTTTCCACATGTTTGTCAGAGGATTCACCGAACGAGTTCACTGTTTATGTCTGCGACAGAACCGCACGCTATAATTAAAAAGCAGGAAAAAGCTGCTCCTTTATTCACCAGGCCTTCCACAGAGTGCGGCTCCATGTTTGATTTGGCTGAATTTTACACCGGTGGCATTTCCTGATCCAGTCCCAGAGGGAGCTTTCACTCCACTGTGATTAAAATATAATACAGCAAAATTATGATAACCAAAGAAAGCACATCTCAGAGTGGAAGTGTAGACTGTACAGCAGGGCCAGGAAGAAGCGCATTAAAGACAATCACTAGTGCACAATAAGAACAGCTCTGGAGCTTTCTCTGCTCTCACTAACTTCATTTACAAACCTCCAAATCATATTTAAGGCTCTCTGACATGGATACGGTGAGGTCAGTGGCTGGAAACACACCAACACACACATTCGCTTCGATAAAAAAGTAGGAAACACTCTTCACCTCATCACGTTGAAGTCACTGATGTTAAGGGTAATTCAGTTTCCTCCAGCTCTCTTTATTTTTTCAGTCATCTTTGATTCTTTGGTTTGGAAGTTTTGGTCTCCACAGATAATTTCCCCCTCAGGTACAGGGGCTGAATGTATTTAGAGTTCACCCATTTAAACTGTATTAAGGCTTAAAGTGTGCATTATTAGGGGCGTGGCCTCTGACAGGTGGATGGCGGCACAGGTAGCTGCTGTCTGTCTGCTAGTTGGAGTCCCTGAGCTGCACTGTGTTTGTGCTGTTGGAGCATTTTTAATGACATTATCTGACCAATAACGATCTTTCCCGGTTGGCTGTAATGGTGCGAGGACGTCTCAGTGCTGCACTCTGTGGCTCAGGGCTTCAACCTGCAGCTGTAACATCCAAGCACATCTGCGCCTGGTTTACAGTCAGGGGCCCACATGACTCGGGGACTCACACACAACCAACCGCACAGAGTCGGCTTCCCCTTGTGCTCCTGAGACGACCAAATTGCGACTCTTTAAAGCTCCTGATTTCCAGCTCTGTGTTTTTATCTTTGGACTCTGTGACTGCAGATTTACACGACACACAATTGATTCCTGATATTGTAGTTTTCCTGCTTCTATACTGCACCCTCTAGTCAGCAATACAGATGGAAGCACTGTAAGTGCATTTAGTATTTTCTAGTGTAAATGCACAGATAAAGCATGCACCCATCTACACACATCCTTCTATTGTATACGACCTGCAGAGCACACAGAAACCATGTCTGTCCTTATTGTGAGGGATGATACTTGAGCGTACAGCCGCGCCCTGCTACAGGAGTTTCTCGTTTCACGGGTCAAAAACAGGCGGTTGAAGTTTAGAAGTGCAAACTGACAGTTAGTTCACTGCTGTGGAAACTCCAGAGCTGCTGAGCTGGTTCGAGCTCGTTGCGCACAGTTTTTATTTTTCTGTTAAAGGTCCGATATCCAGAAAAGGCCTTTCTACAATGTTATGAGATATTTATGAACAGAACAAGCTCTGAAAGTCACACTTTTTCTCACACCGCTGTCAACAAGGCTGCTTCACAGCTTTACAAGCCAGTAAAAATACACAGGAGCTCTTCCTGGTTCACAGCAAGCAGCGCATCGTACTGTAGCATGCTGCTAGCACAGATGCTAAACATACAGCTGTGCACAGTCGGCAGCTGTAGGCCCTCTCTCTCTCTCTCAGTCAGTGTCTGTGCTTCACCTGAGCCATCACACCTCACCACACCTGTCTGCCTGCTTTTCATACTCCAACCCTCATCCCGTCTGTCCGGTCCCCTGTCCATTTTCTCACCTTGACTACTTATACTTCACCCTTCAGGTTTTCTACGCCTTCTATGAGGGGTCACCACAGCAGAGCATCTGCTCCATCTTTACCGTCCTCCTCTGTCACGCCAACCCTCTGCAGGTCCTCCTTCACCGTTTCTACTAAAAATGCTCCAAACAGGCACCAGAGCACAAACACAGAGTGCACAGGTGTTACCCAGTCTATGCAGATGAGCCTAAATACACTTTCTACCCACCAGAACAAGCTGATTTAAGGGGCCGCTGATCTTTCTGCAGACACCCCAGTGACTTTAAAAGTTTAGTGAAAGAGGCCACGCCCCCAATAATGCTTTAAGCCTGGTTTAAAGAGAAGAGCATCAGGACACAGGTGCACTCACATCTCCAGCCAGCTGTTTGAAAACCCTCCGAAACTGTTTCTCCTCTTCGCTCTCATTGGCCTCAGCGAACTGCAGAGGTCTGCGGGGAGGAGGCTGCACACAGAAGAAGCTTCTGTTAGGTCACACACTCACACACATCCTCCCTCCAACTGTGTTTGGACAGTTTGTGTGTTTGTTTGCACATAAAATCTTCCACTGAGAGGGCGTCGCTTCAGTCACACAGTTCAAGGTTCAAGCGATGCACATAAGCTCAGAGTTATCCACTGTGTGTCATCAGTTGTTAACAGGAACAAGACAAAAAATCTTTCTGTTTCTGCTACATTAAATATTAAAACTTGTTCATCGACATTCAGGTGCTGCACACAAGCAGAAATTTGATCTGGGATCTATTTTTCCCGTTTCTCATTGACGCAAATCTACCTGTGCTTTCATTAGAAATGTTGGAGGCTGCATTAGGACAGACTTTACAGAGTACTTACAGGGTCTGACGGCATGAACTGAGACGGGTCGATGTCGCTGTGGGGAAGAAATCACAGGCTCGGTTAGCCTAGCTCAGCATAAACACTCGAGTAGAAACTGATAGAAAAAGTGTGCTCACGTCACAGATTTGATGACGCTCCCGATCACTCCTTTTAACAGAAACATTTTGGCGTCGATCTGAAAAAGACCGAAGATTTAATCGACACTGATACGTGAAATCTGCGGGAGGTTTTTCACCATACTGGCTGTAAATGACCTGAACACCAAGGCCGAGACAGAAACCGCCGACTGCAGACAAACTCACGCAGAAGTTTAACGAACGTTTCATTAAAGTTAACGTTTTTATACTCTTTGATCAGTATGATGTCATAGATAATAACTATTATAATAATAATAATATGATAATATGATTATATACTTCTGATAATAGCCCGTTTTCATATTAATAACATCATCATGGAGAAATAATCATATAAAGAGAACAAACACTGATTCATTAAACTACATGCTTTAAATATTTTCAACTAACTCATCAGGCTCCAAACTGCATTCAGAGGCAGGGCCGTGTCCAGAGAGGGGACACGTGGTGGCACCACCCCTCCTGAAATATGAATATGAACTCAACATGAAACGCTACTGTCAGTCTTACGAATACGACCTGTGCTGGAATCTAACCAAGTACATGTACTCAAGCATTTTACTGATCTAATATTTTAGTGTACTTCACTCAAGTATTTCTATGTTATTCTACTTTAAAGCTTCTGTTACTTCTTATTTTGCTGACTCTTGCAAAGACACAGTGCTTATTATTATTATACGTGAAGCTGGAGCAGTTCATGAGTAAATGTAGTTTATCCACTGAGCTCATTTTGGCTCTCAGAGATTATTAAAACAACAAACTCAACGATTATTATTCAAATGAAATGATTGTGTCTGGAACAGTTCTCAGGTTCCATTCAGCCCAGCATCCCTCCCACCGCTGGATTCGCTTTATTCAGCTTTCTCAGACGAATTAAACTCACAGCTCATTGATCAAATGTAAAAGACATTTTTCTTCTTTTTAAAGGGAACTCACAATTTTCCAGTCTGAGTAATCTGACCAAATTAACCGATAATCAAATATGAATGAATCAGTAATTCATGTAGTAACTTTTATGTAGTAGTAACGATTATACTTGTACTTTAAGTGTATTTGGATTCATTCAAACAAGAGTATTAAACATATTAGTAACGCTCACACACACACACACACACACACACACACACACACACACACACTTGTCCATTTTGTGCCATGTTTTCTTAAATAAAGCGCAGCGTCAGCGGCGGGAGGAGGCTCCGTCGGTACTGAAGGCTCACAGCTCCTGTCTTATCCCACCCTCGGTAATCTTTCCATGCCTCCGTGTTCTGGCCGCGCTGGGTTGTTTTCTCCACTTTAACCTTGTTTTGTAAATTTCCACCGGGTGGGTGGGACAGCATGCACAATTCTGCACTTTTACACAGCTGAGGCAAAGCCAGCACACAGGACACAGAGGAGCTTTGTGGTACTTACAGAAGCTTCAGCTGAGGACAGACGGAGGCAGAGACCGCGGAGCCGGCGACAGAGACGATCACGGACTGCGGGGAACACGGACACGGAGGAACTGCAGGGCGAGCCCACTGACAGCGTTCTTTTTCAATGCGTCATCAACCCCTCCCCAAACACACGCACATATGCACGGGCAGGCCGCCAGATCATAGCGCCCTCTAGAGTTCAAATACGTGGTGCGTTCAGGGGCCCACAGGTCAAATGACTCATCACCAACAGAGGAGACCTCACCTCATATTAGCTGTTCTGATGAGTTTCAACGATCAGAGTTTGGAAGCGTGGATTCAGCCTGTCTGTAAACGCACGTCAGGCTGCTGGTGGTGTGGTGGTGTGGGGGATATTATCCTGACACACTTTGGGTCCAACTGAGCATCGTCCACAGCTTACCTGAGTGTTGCTGTGGACATGGTCAGCCTTTCCTGCCCGGGGCAGATGAACACGTTAATGTTTTTATATTCGACGTGATGTGAAATGATGTGGGTGGTTTATTATCCTCTGATAACCTGGTAAATTTTGTCTGCGTTTCTTTTGACTCACAGACTTCAGACCTGGAACTTTTCAGATTTCAGGAAAAAGATCATGTTGGACAAGGTGGGACGTAAAAGGAACATTCTAGCCACTGATCCATCAGCTGATTACTGCCAGAAATATTTCAGATATGTTCCATCTTTCCTGTTTCAGTGGGTGTGTCTGTTAAAGAGCTGGCTGACCTGTTTTACGTCTCCCACCTTTAAACGCCTCCTCTGACAGCTCCAGCCTCTCTGTGGAGCTCAGCTTGTGTCTCAGCTTCGAGAACTGAAGATCACATCATTACTGATGTTACTACAGCTGACATCGTGACAAAGACTTCCTCATAAACACACGTTTACAGAGACATTATTAAAGGCATCACTATCATTATTTACTCTGAAGCAGAGAAGTGTGGATTGGAATAACTTGCACTGAATTATTCTACAGTTCTTTAGATGAATCCTCTGCTGTTTATGTATTTTATAAGGTTTTATGATTTGATTTATTTTTGTTCTTTTCATTTGACTTTAGTTATTAAATTTTAATGCATTTATAATTTAATTATTTTGTATTATTTTACTTTGTGTTTGTATTTTATAAATATTTATTTTATATTATTGTATTGTTGATAGTTGATTGCATTTGTTTTATTTTATCTAAGTTTGTGGTTTTTAAGGAGGAAGTTTAGCAGAAAATAGCATTTTATTTATTTAATTGTATTTTCTGTTTAATTAATAAATTGATTATGTTTTATCACATTTATTTTCTTCATTTTTATGATTGTGCGTTTAAAACTATGTCTGTATCCTTTGGCGGTGATAACATGAAGTGTAAACCTCGCATAAATGATTTCTTCATGCGGTATAACCGGATGTTTCTCGCTTCTCCAGAGCCGGTGCAGCTCCAGCCTCTTGTCACTGGGAGGCCTGGTTGCCATCAGTTACTGGTTGTTGTTGGTACTGCTGTTCAGGGTGCAGCCGCACCGACAGCTAACGTGTCGTTAATTTGACACATTTTACTGCATCTATTTTTAGTTTCTTTGTATTGTTTGCTCTTAGCTTTCAGCTCCACCTTCTCACAACTTTTTCCACACCAAACTTTGTCTACAAGTTGCTGAGCGCACAGCGAATTATAGAGATCTGATTGGGCAATCCAGTGTCTGTAAGGGAAATGAACCAATCGGCTGTTTAACAAAACGGTAATGAAAGAGCTTTCACTGCCCTCCAGTGGTGAAAGTAAAGAACTGCACGTGTAAGACAGCAACAGCAACAATGCCTGAGGCTGCCCTGTAGTGCTCGTCGCTACCAGTTAGTTGGGATGTTTTACGTTCTCTTGTAGTCATTTCTCTTAATTTCTAACTTTTAATTAATTAATTTTATTACGATTTCATAAATAATGTTCTCGGATAAGTAAAAAAAATATCTCTCCCTGTCCTAAACAACAACGCGTTCTTGAAAAGAAACAATGCAAATGTATTTTATTTTATTTTATTTTATTTAAGTTTATTTTATTACGTCTCCCCTGAAGAGTCATTGCGCTACGTGTACGTCACCCGGAAGCAGGAAGTGTTCAGGAGCTTGTGAGTTGTCGTGGAGGCTTTGCTGCTGTTGTCGGTCTCGTCTTCCTGTTGGCTCAAATGGCGAGCTTCACGGGTCCGGGACTCTGGTGCTGGGCTCTGGTCCTGCTGATGCTGGCGGAAGCGAGCTGGCCGGTGGCGGCCGTGTCGGAACCGGGGAAGTGGGACCTGGACATCAATAACGTGAGTTTCCTGCTCGTACCTCCCGCTGTGATTCTGTGATGGTTCGTTTAGGTTCTGTGATGGACGGGTTGGAGCGGAGAGGAGCTTTGAGCAGATAAAACGTGTTTCAGCTGCGAAGCAGCCGCTAAAATACCGCTCTGTTTGCCCTGCGCCATAATCGTTACGCCGCTAACGGCTAACGTTAGCTAAAGTGAAAGTATTCAAGTGGCGCGTCACTCAACACGAACGATCCTGTGATAACCAGCTGCGCCATGAAGACGTTTGATATCAATAAAATCACCAGTTACTCGCGTATATGTGAAACAGGCCGATACCAGCCGCTCGTCTGGTGCTGAAGCCTTGTTTAAAGATTCTGCTGAGAAATCCGTTGGGCATCTTTCTTTGCCTTTAGACAATAATTCTGATGGCAAAAGAGCCAAACGGGACAGGCAAAAAAAATACTGCTGAGAGGACAGAAGGAGTACTTTGAGTTATCGTGAATGAAGAGAGACTGGAGGACAGTTGGTGAATCAGGAAGAGGATTGGTAAGAAAGACAGTGACGGCAGCTTTGAAGACTGCAAGTGGACGCTTCAGATGACACACGTGGAGGCCAGCAGGCTTTTTAACCGGACTGTTCAACACAGTCCTGTAGGATGAGAAGATGCCTGAGCAATGCAGAAGCGGTGCTGGTACTTTTCAAGGACAAGCGCGATGTACAGAGCTGCAGTAACTACAGTGGAATACAGCTGATGAGCAAACCAATAAAAAGTGTGGGAAAGAGTCGTGAGCAGGTTAAAGAGAGGTGATAATCAGCGAGCAGCAGTATGGCTTCATGCTGAGAAACAGCTCCACACATGTGATGTTTGAGTCTGTGGAGCCAGAAAAGCAGATGCAGAAGACCTGAATGAGGAGGTGAGAGAAGTATGAGAGGGTGTTGGACATGTCTGAGGAGACGAAGTTTTGTGTGTCTTAAAGGAAACAATATCTGCTGATAGATCAGATTTTTAATCGCTGTGGGTCTGAGATCCTGCATTGGTTGGGCTGTAAGCACAGTCTGTCCACCTGTTACATGCATTAGTCTGCAGAAGACTGTAAAGCTGTGACTGTGCACTGGAAACCCAGACTTACAGTATGAAGGTTAATGATAAACCAGAGTCATCAATGCTGCGGGTTAAATATCAAAGCTGATGCACAAAGACAGCACTGTCAGGGCTCGCAAAATCGCTAGCCCGACGTCCCGGCCTATCATAGGAAAATGTCAGTGCTTTTGCATTCTTTGGAAAATGTATCTGAGTAATTATGTCATTGGCATGGGTGAGCCACTGTCACTATGTGACATATTGAAATCGCGTTTGAATTTGCGCTTGTTTTTTGCTTTCACTTTGCGATTGCGCGAACGGCGTGTAGAGAGCGACAGCACTGATCTGTGAGTGACGATTAATTGTGCACCAATTCCTCTGACATCGTCTTATCACTCATTAGCTTACTACGCAAACATGACAAGTGAAATCTCCCGCAGCTTAAACATGTGAGAGGTTGATCGCGCAGAGAATCGCTGAGCTTATGTGAGTACGTGTGTAAAAGCATCAGGATATTAATTGTAGTTCTGCTGAGCCAAATAAGACAGGTCAGGGTGAAGAAGTGACAGCCAAAGAAAAGCTTACCACAAAACGGAAAAGTTATGACAAATCAGACTATAAGGCAAAAAGAAAGTGCAGCTTTATGGTTTCATGGACAAAATAATTTCTGTGGCTGGAACATGACGAGCTAAATAACATGATGTTCTGCAGGTGTGTTGTGAGTCGACAAGCGCCTTTGTTACTGGGACCAGTAATTTTAAGAAAGACCCCATTAGAACCCATGACAAATGCATTATTGCCCAGTCTGCAGTATCTTTCCCAGAACGAACAGCAATTGCAAAAAACATTCTAAAAATGAACCGAGCACAAGAAGAAGTCCTGACAAAGCTGTTTAGAGCCGCGTGCTGTGTAGCAAAGAGTGACCTACCACTGGCCAGATTTAGCAAACTTCAAAAAGCAAACGTCCTAGATGTTGGTTCCACTTGCCTCTTACCAGTGACTCCAGTGGAAATGTCAGATTCATGTCCTACGCAGTTCTTACAAGTTCATAGAAATTTCTGTTCAATGAGAGCCAAGTATTTGAGTTGATGATTGTCATTTTTATACAGTTGTTGTGATTTATATTGTAACAATTTTTTGATTAATTTTTGTTTCTGTTACAACGGAAACAAAACATAAAAAAATGCTCTTTTTTTATTCGGGCTACTTGAATTTATTTTTACCAAAAACTGCAGAGTGCCGGCCCAAAGGGCTGCCAGGGATTTAGAAATTTTGCGAGCCTTGACACTGTACCACTGTTTTTAATCTGCACAACCAGCAGTGGTGTGGAATTAAATACACAAAGTTCCCGAACACTGTAAGCCACCTTTCCAAAAACAGGAACATGAACCACTGATGTTGTTATCAACTGCCAAAGCGAAGGCCTCAGATCATCGGTTAACACAGAGTAACACGATAACAGGCATCTCCCAGCTCAGGGGCTGAAATTTGTATTTCCTTTAATGCTTCACACACGGGGCTGCAAATGAGTGTTTTTAGGAGTATAGCGAAATAGTTTTATCACAGTCCTGGTGATTTTCCTTTGGTGGAACTTGTATGCAGAAAAACCCTGAATTTATTCACTTTCGGGAGGGACCACGGCTAGATGGAGGGCACTGTGTTTGTGTGGGCAGCTGGAAATATCGGACTGGGACCGCTTACAAACAATAAGCCTGCAGGTTACAGGCTTTAGTCTCCCAGGAGATGAGTAAAGATCATAATTAATCAACA